ATGCTGGGCGCGTCCGGCGTTGAAGATGCGGATGGATTAGGCAGCAACTGGCCGGGATGCAAAGGTGTAGGATGGTCATTAAAAGATTCAATAAAAGAGACATTATAAGAAACAAAGACTTTGTTAGAGGCCCAGTGGTAGCATCTGTAAGCCTTTGAGTCGAGTGAGTAGCCGATAAGGACGCATTCAGACGATCTGTTGAAAATCTTAGGGTTGTGTCGATTTTGAATCAGAACAAATGCTCGGCAACCGATTTCCCGTAGATGGGAAAGGTCAGGCTTGCGACTGAACCAGGCTTCGTAGGGAGTGTGACCGGATTGAGAGGTAACCGGCGTGCGATTCGAAAGGTAGTTGGCTGTAAGGACGAATTCGTCCCAACGGTTAGCGGGCACATTGCAAGACGTGCGCATTGCGCGAGCCTTACCCATCAGCGTACGGTGCAATCGTTCAACACGGCCATTGTGAGCTGACGTGTATGGGGCAGTGAATTGATGTAGGGTGCCGCGGGTGGCAAGCCAATCACGCATCCCACTGGATTTCAGCTCACCGTTGTCAGATCGGAATATACCCACAGTCAGACCTGTCTCAACTTCACGCGCGCGGACCCAAGCTTGCAGAGCTGGAAAGGCGTCGCTTTTGGAGGCGAGGGGGATGGACCACGAATAAGAAGAGAAATCGTCAATCACATCCATTATGTATTTATTTCCAGCGACGGATACAGTATCCAGATGCTCCATCAGGTCGACATGTACGATTCCGAGTCTGCGATCTGCACAAGCCCCCCCCCTAACCTTCGGTACGCTTGACTTAGTCTGTTTGCCAAGGATACACGCGTCACAAACGGGAGGAAGGGAGGATAAGTCGATTGGCATACCGGTAGCAAAACCTGAACGAGCAAGGTCGTATACGGAGCGGAAGTTGGCGTGGCCAAGGCGTCTGTGCCACGTTTCAAGGGTGGGAGTGCGTTGCGCGAGATACGCATGGTCGGCAGACAGTTGTCCACCCGAGAGAGCATAGAGACGACGAGACGTCAAGGTTCCGGTCAACATTCAGGTGCCACTGCGGGCCTGGACCCAGCAAGACGTAGCGTCGAAAGACGCGACGCAACGATGTGCGGTGCACATGGCAGAGACCGACAGGAGACGGACAGTGGCGCTTGGGATGAAAAGGACGTGGTCCAGTGTGAGATGGATGCCTTTTGCCACGATTAAGCGAATGGTGCCGACACCAACAGCCTGAATTGACGAGTTGCCAACGCCGTTGACAGCACAAGGAGGTATAGGACGTAGGGTATAGAAGTCCGACTCAACGTTACTGATGTGCACAGAGGCACCACTGTCAAGGAAGAAGGGCACAATAGACGGGTCAACGGGTGTACGAGCACGCTGATTCGGCGCCTTGTAAGTAAGGCCGGCAAAGTCGACGGGCTGGCTGTGCGTGCGCCAGTCGACGCTGGCTTGCAAGTCGACAGCGGCGAATAGCGCATCGTATGCGTCCTCAGGAAGCTCCTTGATGAACGCGGAGGATGGGACATCGTATGCGAGTCCAGCAAACTCTTGGGTCGGTGTATTAGGATCTGGAGCAGGAGGGGGTGGAGCACCGGCAATGAAGATGGCCTCGTGTGTCTCGGCGTCTAGGAGATACGCGCGACCGCTAGTGTCGTACCTCAGGCCACCAGGCTTCCCAGTCGACGCTCCTTTGGTAGGGCGTGAGGAAGATGTTCCAGGGGTTCTGGTAGTGTTGCCATTGGAGCGCGCAGCGCGACGACGAGCGATGACCTCATCCTTCTTACCCTCCATAGCTCCTCCTTTCCCGTAGCAGTCCTTGGCAGAGTGCCACCAGCCGCCACAAGTAGTGCAACAATTGGTGTGGGTGGATTGACCGCAGTCAGCACAAGTAGCTTGAGTGTTTCGGCTTCGATTGGGCTTCCCTTTATTGGACGCCATCATGGCGATGTCGCCAGGTCCCTTTCCTTTGTCATTATCGACGAGTTGTTGTTCTAATTCAAGGCGGGATCTGATATTGGTCGGACCATAAGGTGCGGACGGGGTGCTAATAGTGATGGCGTCAGCAACATGGTTACACACATGAGGAATATCCTCGCTCATGGCGTTTAGCATGAGTATGGTGAGGAAATCTTCTTCCTTGGGAATGCCAATGGCGTATATGCGCCTAGCAAGGTCCGTAAGCTGTGTACTAGTGAGGGCAAAACGTTCCGAGCGACGGTAGCGTAAGGCAAAGGCTTGCTGGATGAGGAGGATCTGGGCGATAGGCCCGACCTGCTCGTGGCGAGACTTAAGGGCCTTCCACGCAGCGTGAGCATCGACGAAAGGAAGTAGGAAGTCCTGGTCCTCCGGGCAGGAGCGAGTACTTAATGCTGCGACAATACAAAGGTTGTTGAGGTCCCAGGTGCTAGCGCCGACAGGGTCTGCAGCGTCGTTCGGACGTGTGATGACGCCGAGAAGGTAACCTCCTCCATGTTTGAGGAGTAGGTAGTTGCGTATCTTGGCTGACCAAGTACCCCAGTTGTTCTGTCCGCGATCGAGGAGTTCAATTTTCTCAAGATCCGTGTGACTAAGGGTAATCGCCACGACTTTAGAGGTGGTGGTCGACATAGCGGAGATGTTCGTTCCGCCTCCGTGTAAGATAGGGGGTTGGAGAATGGTAGGTATCGCCGCAGAGGCGGCGGAAACAGATGAGGATGGTTTGGGGATACTGGTATTGGTGCTATTTGACCTTAGGTGGTGCTTTGCCATCCCAGTAGGTGGTGGTCAAAGGTAAAGATGGGTTATGGCTGGGTTATGGGTCCCGCTATTTAAGGCGGGGCGTACGTCTATCGGCGAGGTGCTTCTCGCTCGAAAGGGAATATGAATGACGCTTCGATGACGTCGAGCGTCTCAGTTGCACGCCGACGGCGTAACTGTTCCAGAAGGGGAGTGACTATGTCCAGAGGGGTTTCCGCTCGCTCGTTTCTTACGAGTGAGCAGGGCTCATAACCTGTAAAGTCTAGACAACGTCAGACCTCAGTCGTGGAAGAACGAACTTAATTAATATGTACCTAGACAACGTCAGACTATGGTAGCCGTATTAGTGTCTAGGTATCGTATGATGAAACAAGGAACTTACCCTCAGTCGTGGAAGAACGAACTGAGGGAAGAGATAACAAACGAAAGTCTTTTAAGTAATGGTTTGAATTCCTGCGTGATACTCCGCTGGGCCGTATCGCGTTGTCACGTGCTAACGCGCCAATAATTCATAGACCAAAACGATTCGTGATGATTTGCATGTGCTACTAGTAGCTTATGTAAAAGCACGAACTCGTGGTACATATAGTAGATTGCCAACGGATCTTTCTTCATAGGGTGGATCTTAGGTGGCGGTCTGCTGGCATTGCAGACGTTATCTGTTCGAAATGCAATGTCAGGTGGACTACATTGTCATGAAGATCAATACTCGGCATATAAAAGCAAGTCGTCTTCCCACTATCACCTTCATATTTACTCGATCTCATACCACATCCTCACAAAAAATGCGTATCTCCTTTGTCCTCGCAACTGCAGTTGCTTTGACAGCAGCAATATCTGTCAACGGGGATGAAGACTATCCTCATTGTCCTTGGTTTTGCTTGTTTGATGCCGACTGCTCGGGTTGCAAATATGCAAAAACTTGCGTGAGTATGAGAAGTTCGTGTCCTGGATCTATTCACATGACTCGCCGGCATTGTAGCTCATCTATACGTGCTGCGAGTAGTGTGGCAGTGGTTCGTGTTTCTGCTCTCACATCCGTGCGTGGCACGCTGCGTGAAGCCTCGATCGGTTGCCCGACAGTTGTGGGTGCACAAGGACTATGGTAGCGGCGGAGGTGGCGTAGTTTGGGGTGGCCGGGTAGTTGGTTATTTAGAAAGGAAGCTCGAGAAATCATGTGGTATCAGAGCCATAGCTAGCATATTGTACTGAGCTGGTTCTCTATGAGCTTGCTTGGCAAACTATGATTGTGAAGGGATATGATTGCTTACCATAAATAAATATGACTGCAACTTGAATAGAGCAGAGAACGACACCGGTTTTATACCTCTCGACAGGCGGGGAAATGATAGACAAAGGACGACTGCGATCGTGCATTGAGGCCATCGATTTGACATTATCCCCCGACAACACGTCGGGAAAAGGCAAGGATCTGTGGACACATTCCTATAGGATATGCACCTGTGGAATTCACTGCTTTGTAGCGCCACGCGTGCATCAGTCCACAAGAACATAAAGATCGTAGAGAAACGGCAGACAAGGAGGTGCGTCATGGTAGAATCACAAAGATCTGAAAGTTTTGATGCGTAGGGTCAGTCGCATTTTTATTGTAAACGTGCAAAGACGCTTACCTTGTCTGTCCACTGCGTCGCGAACCAGCGTAGTCCTTACTTTTGATGCAGTAATTTGAAGGGGTGACATAATGGAACCATCCAAAGCATCATACCGCAATACTTTTGAAATGGACGTCATGGCTTCGACCTAGCGCTTACATGGAGAGCTAACTGGTAATAGGAAAGAGGAGATACAGCCCGTAATAGTTCCATATAACGCAAGATGAAGGAATCATTATATGGTCCGTCAAGAGTTATACTGTGATGATACATTACATATCGGTTTGAGATAGCCACATCAACGATACACGCTTACGATAAATTTTCAGGGCTGCACGCAGCACGCGTGGGTTGTAATTATATCAGAATTCGCTGTAGCCCTCAGTTGTGCCAGACCAGTGCATGAGAGCAAGACGAGGGTAAGCGTTGTTTTGGTCTGTTGTGCAAAGGCTTTGCTTTCCACTTTGCAAAATTTGGCCGCTGCTGTATCCCTCCTTCATTCCAGTCTGGTGCACTGGCGAGGAGTGCCTGAAACAAGGACCTTTCAAGAATTCGTCAGTCCGAAGTTGTAATCTTCTATCAGGAGGATTGGTCATTATATCTCGACGTTCGCTCTCCTAACCACAAAGAGTCCCCTGCAATCATGAAGGAATTGGAGGATGCGACAGGGATAGATGTATGGGCCCTGGTAACCTTCCGTCCAGGTATGAATGGTGCACGAGAGAAACTACAACGGGCATCGAAGCGCGTCACCACTGCAAGAAGACGTTGCGTACTCATCATTTGGCATCTTCGCCATCACCCTACCTATCATTTGTGGCGAGAGGAAGCAGGGCGCGCTCGGGTGGCTCCTGCAGGAGATCGCGGCCAGGTCAGGCGACATCACTGTCCTCGACTGGATTGGACAACCTTCCGAGTTCAATAGCTATCTTCCAGCCCATATCGCCTCTTATAGCACTATTCCACGTACCCTTTCATCTTTGTCCGGAGGTCATATCCACACACAAGTCTCTTCGCTACGACAAACCATGCCTACAGATCTAACATTGAAGTTTTATGACCAGTCTGAATAGCTGAGCTCCTCGCTTCGCAAACTCCAGACTTCATCTGCCTTGTATTTCATTCCATGTCATGGAAATCAGACGGAGGCGCAGTCTGGCCCAGGAGACTCTCATGACATATGGAATCGAGGCAGGCGGGCCCCATGGCCTGCTGATCACCACTGAAGATACCCTAGTTCAGTTCTCGCGGGCAAAGCCCATTCGGCAGACGTTCTTACTTGTCCGTCCATGGGATCGGTATCTCCTCGGGGTACCTGACTTTTCAGATGACACGGAGAGCACGGAAGGTTGGACAGAGCCTGGGTCCCTGACGGATGAATCTGACGAGTCACCCAGTGGTTCACTCATTGGCGTTGCAGTTGCTGGTTCGCCTGAAACAGCCTTTCGACGCATTTTTGCTAGCGCAGTAGGGTGCATGCTCCGAGTCAACAATATTACTTTTAAATACAAATCCCATCTATCCACTGATGGGCCCAGCCCGCCATTGCGCCTCAACCAACACTCACCTGATGAAGAGAATCACTTCCGAGCTTCCTACGCTAGTCGAACCAGAGCTTAATGGACGACAAGAAAAACTAGGTATTCTCAGATAAATCCAAACATCCAAATTGCTCAAGCTGGTACTACAATCATTTATGCAAACTCAATTGTACTGGTTGGCTCCGAACTAGGTATTGCATCATCGGCCTTGATGCCAGCGCGAAAGCAGAAACATGACTCACTGTTGTGACATACCCTTCGGGCTACCGGCTCAAATTTCAACATTGCAACGTTCAACGTTCAACCCTGGCAGGTGAGTCACGTGGTTGAATTCTGGTTACTAGCGACCTCCTCATACGCACGTCACTATCGACACAAACGCCAACGCAGCAATCGTAAACTGTTTTGCAAGGTTGATTGTCGCTCACATATGAACTGACAAATATAGATGCTGTCAACCCAACAATAACGGCAAGGAGGGGGAAACACATTTTCTGTGCGAGCTGATGCCGCATCTTCTGAGGGGGATCTCAGATGATATCTCTGAAGATGGGGGAGCGCTGTAGGATGACAACCAGTTTTTATACCCTGCATATACGTACAGGCACGGTTCTGATCAATTTGGCAGAATTGTCATTGCTATCAGATATTCATTTGATTATGACTATTGAATCATAATCTGCCTGCAGGCATCGACAATTCAAATATATCTTCCTACGCCACTCGAACTTTATGACATTATAGGTGCACATTTATTATTGCGCGGCCTGCGCGGTGCCCTTTGTGAAGTCTGCGTGATGCCCACTCAACTTGCGCGAAAAGAAATGAACGGCGCGAACGGACCTGCTGGGACGACGACAGCAGCAGCGGCACACAAACGAAGGGGCAAGATGTAACAGACCCACCGCTGCTTCCTGACCGGGCCCCCTGAGGCTGCTGTGATAGACTTGGCGCCGGCGAGGAGCCGTGTACACAGGTGGTGGGGGTATACTCTATGTATCTTGGTCTACTAGTACTCGTGGTCCTTTAAATCCTTACCATTCAAGTTGGTGTTAGCCACTTTAGTAGTCTATGTCATAAGGTTTATCGTGGACATAGTCAATGGTCATTACGTATAGTAGAACTTGGGGAGAAAATACTGATACTAGTGATACATCGTTTTCACGTTAATAGCCCGTTCGACACGCCTATGCTTTCCTGCAATTTCCTTTCTGCTTCCAACCATTCGGCGACAGGCCTATCCCTGCCTTCCCATTCCCATTGGGCTAAGAGCTTCTCCTTTTGGATCTCCAACTCTTCTTGCACTTCTCCTCCAGCTGTACTAGACAGCTCAAAGTCCCACATACGTCCTCTAAGTTCCGATTCCCGTGCTACAAATTGAGCGAATGGGAGGCGAACGTCCTGGTATGCCTTCAGCGCGGCGGGTAAGTTATCTAATGTTGTGAGTGGATGAGCAAGAAGGCGACCAAGCACAAAAGCATCCTTCGTACAAAGTGAGATCACATAATCTGACGAAAGATCACACCTACCTCTATCGCCTGGCCAGCTCCGGCGCCAAAGTGGGGTGTCATCGCATGGCACTACATGCCGATTTTGTCAAAAGATTTTCTACATAGTCACAAGGAGAAACGTACCGCATCACCTATCAAGGCAACCCTGTCGTAAGCAGATAACGGCAATTCATTTACTACATGAAGCGCCCATCTTGAAGGGTTTTCGAAACACTGCAGAAATGTCGTCAGTCAAGGACGGCATGAGGAATACAGCCCAAGACTCACTTTCAGCAGGTTTTTAACAGCGGATTCAAAGTCCTGATATGATTCCTGAACCTCTTCATGCGACACAGATGAAGCCCAACGGCCCTCAAAAGGTGTGCCAGCTTTGTCCTCATCGGTAACAAGTGCCACAACATTGATCAGCGTTCCTTGTGAAACTGGGTATGAAACGACGTGCTATGAAGTTGTAATGTGGATTAATCAGGCTAGCAATAGGCTGATAGCAACAATCTACCTTTCTCTTTCCGCAAAACTACAAAATGGGAGTTAATCACAATAATCACGACTACTTTTGTGCAAACTCACTATAATGAAATTCGTCAAGGCTATGTGGTCTGGATCCAGTTCCGAGAGCTTCTTTGCCGGAAATACAGTGCGATAGACGAGCGTTCCGGTCCAAGATGGATCAACGTAGTGTCTTATCTTACTTGGGTCTATGACATCCTCGTCTAATGTTTCAAAAAACGTCTTCCGCACTGAGGAGTAGATACCGTCTGCTCCTATTAACACGTCCGTAGCTGAGGTGCTGTCATCAGCGAAGTGAAGGATGAGTGATCCTGATAACTGCTTGTCATATCGAGTGAGTCGTTTATTAAAGTGAAGGCTGCACGACGATGGGAGGTTTTGCTTGAGGGTTTCCACGAGATGCTGATGGTTCATATGAGATGAGACTGTGGGGGGTGATTGAAGCCATTCAAAACCACCCTGTGGCATATCAGACCTCCTGACTTTTAGCGCTGTCGGCACGAATTAAGTTACATATCGGCTGACAAATAAACACTTTGACAGACCATGACTGGAAGAAGGGGGTTTGGTCGAAACGCGAGAGATTTCTTCGTACATGTCGAGTTCTTTCATGACTTCCATTGTACGACTCGAGAGTACAACTCCAGCCCCACCAGTCGTGGTAGCATCATGCGCTTCATACAAGTCTATATGGATATCCTGATTTGCAAACTTTCCGATTGTGACAGCGAGAGCAAGCCCTCCTATGCCTGCACCACTGCACAGGAATTTCGTTTGCGTTACGTTCTTGAGAGATTATCCGACTCACCAGATTGCTACTCGAAATTTGGGATCGGCTGATGAGAGTGGCATTATAGGTTGAATTTTACAAGTGCTATAGGATGACCATAGTGGCTACATTTTATAAGTCAAGTCGACATACATTTTTGGGTGACCAGTCAGGAACTGCGTCCCCGAAAAAGTAGAAGTGTATCATCACAACCGAAGAGCTGGCATCTGCTGGCGCCTGCTGGACTGTAGATATTTGAGTCCGCATTACGTAGAGCCGTAGGATCGGAATATGTCTGTTTAACTAAGGGAATTTACGATTAGCTACGTGGTACGATCATTGGGCCACACAATGACTGAAGAGAATGAGTATTTTAACTGCCGCTTGGCGAAGATATTACCACAAGGAAAGGCAGTTTTTGGCCGATCAGCGGACTGAATACTGCAATGCGACAGCATGATGGATAGCAAGAATAGCTATCTCCGCCGATGAAATCTTGTGCGGATGAAAAGCTTTTAGCTACATCCGTCGTCGAGAGGACGAGTCTGAAATAGCCGATCTGTCGGTCTGCACAGACACCAGGTCTGTATCTGCGACCAAGTCTAGCCCTACTAGGTGGACGTTCGACACGGGTAGCGGAGTTTGAAGTTGCCAGTGGCTGACTGTCGTAGATGTCAGCCGCTGTCACAGAGCACGGATCGTATGCTGCGGCACACCAAGCGCTGGCTGGGGCAGGCAAATGGGGGAGAGAAAAAGACAGGGAAGGAGGACATTGACATTGCTTGATTGGGATGGAGCCCGAAATCAGCATCCCCTCGGGCGGCGGGTACTACAAGCTCAAGTAGCGGGCGGGCGTTGTGTGGTCACGGTGTAGGGTAATGTCATGAGCAGTGTGATAGGCAAGGCAGCTTGGCCATCTAAACTCCGCTTGAATCACTCAGACCTGATAGACACAGACTTGGAGTCAGACATGCACGTACGCAGATCGTAAGTATCCTGTACATTCACATCGCCGACATAGCGCTAGCCGCATCTGCCTTTTTCCGCACTGCGCCGCGATGAGGTGGACATTGTGGAGTCATCTCCAGTTACATAAACACACCTATGAATGTTTTTTCCCACGATATTAAGACTTCATTAACTGGAACAAAGTTACTTCAAGATATCACTGACATTTAACCGAGATACCTTTTGTCGCTACACCTTGTCATGACGAAGCACAGTAAAAATAATACGGCGTCTTCGGTATTTTCTTACGCCGAGAGACAGAAGGCGGAGTATGGTACGAAACGGGTGCGTCTGCTCAGCTAAATCATACGAACCTTTTCACCCAGTACTACAACAGCAACGCCTGGGTAATGAATCAATGCGAAATTTTGACGCATGCTCTTTGTGCTTGCAGCGAGCGAGAGAGCCAATAGCTTGCGATCAGGGTCATTTGTTCTGCAGAGAGTGTGCGTACACTGACCTATGTAAGTTCACAATGGCATGCACAAGTTTCATACAAATTAAGTATCCAGTGACACAGAAAAAGGATATCAAGCGGCAGAAGGAACGTCTTGAGCAGTTGAAGAAAGAAACTGAAGAGGAGAAAGAGAGAGCTAGAGAGGCAGCCAGGGAACGTGTACTTCGTGATTTCGAGAAGGGTCAACTGGGATTGTCTGCGAACCTGCCGTCTGTTGCATCTGCATCTGGCGTCGGCGCAAAAGGTTGTGCGTATCTCGTCCATTTACTTTTCCTAATAATGCTCAATTGTTCCCAGCCCGATCATCGAAGCGGAAGCTTGACTTCGACTCTTCAACAGTTGAAACTCTTACCCGTGAAGCCGAAGAAGCAGCTCTAAGACAGATCGAACGAGAGCAGGCGGAGTCATTACGACACAAACTACCAGACTTTTGGCTGCCTTCGCTAACTCCTACATATACCTCAAGCGGTTTGCCGAGCTCCCTCAAGGATGTTAAGGTTCAAACAACCTGCCGGGGAGGGAATCCACCCCACCCAATAACGTTGGTATACATCATTTGTCATAATAAACATTTTCTCATGACGTTTTCAGCCTGAAGTCATTGGTGCCTGTGGGGTTTACATTACTACCCACTGCGTTGGCGTCACAATCATCAGGTTCTACTCCCGTTGAGAGCGAAAAGGGTAAATCCAAGTTAGAGGATGATGGAGTTCCGATTTGTCCGGCGTGCAAAAGTAATCTTCACAATAATAGGATGATGTTCCGTGAGTTCACCACGCCTCTGACACCGCCTACAAGATTTGACCATTCGTAGTCATGAAACCGTGTTCCCATGTTGTATGCAAAGTATGTGTTGATAAGCTGGTGCGGGTGACGAAGCAGTGCATCGTTTGTGACCACACACTTGGTGATAAAGACATGATCGAATTAAAGAGAGAAGGTGCGTGTTTGTTCAACTTGTTTTGGGTCGCGTAGCTCCTTGTGGAGCAAAGGGACTACGTCTTGTTTTACCGCATTCTGATTCATGATATTGTCAGGCACTGGCTTCGCAGGAGGCGGCATTGCAGAAGCGAAGAAGACAGGTGTCGCATTCCAGGGTTGAAAGTACTCGTCTGTATCAAGATCGACTCCATAGGTCTTGAGTCGGTTTTCACAGTTCAAGTTGTTAAACGTTGTTTTCGGTTGATTGAATGTGCGCTATTTTGATAATCCCTCTACAGTGATTCCCGACTTGCAATTTGACTATTGCATATTAAAGCTCCAGAATAGCTTTGAATGCGCATGACAACCTACGGCCCCGTCTTCTTGAGAATGCAAGTTCCTAGCTTTTGCAGGGGACACCTGCTGGTACCTAATACTATGCATGGAGCAACAGGTCTCTATATTTGATGTTCTTTCGCAAAAGTTTGCTTATAGCTAGCTCTGCGCCGTACATGCATCTTCTTCCTGAATGTTCGACAGTTACTCCTTATCAATGGCACTGTAGCTGCTGACGCAATCACCCAGGGGTTACAATTCGGTGCGGTGATGATCAATTTGAATCTTTCTTCCAAAGTCATAATGTAACAACAGGCCAGACTTACACGTTTCTCATTTCCGGCTATAGCATTCTGATAATATCTCTCAGATCTCAGTATGCCTCTGCGGGACCGGTTGGTGCATTACCTCAAGAAGCTCTTTGAAGTGTTGTAGGAGACATGGTTCACACTCTCTTTCGGACCACTGCATCGAACAGTCCACTGGTCAGGAAACAATTCGTGTTCGGGTATGTTTATTGAATATGCTTAGTATATCGCCCTAAAGAACAATAAGGTCCTGGGATCCAGAATCCATGCAATCTTGATCAAACCATCTTTGTTCGTTTCGCTCAGTCACAATATAATTTGAAGGTCAAATTTGTGGTGTAGCAGTGGACCTCAGTGTGGTTCCATGTCATCTCATTGTGTGGCGTGAGTTCATCTCTCCTTCTTTGATAACAGCATTGACTCGTCACTGCACTACGCATTGTGTGCGAGCTGAGCCACAAGCTAAGCGGTGCTGTTGTGTCCTAGCTATTCTCATTACCACTGCCAGTTTTGACAATATGCCTCGCGTTTGTATCCCTCCCTCGTTCCACGACGCCCGATCCACAACCAACCAATCTACCACACCCACACCCACATTCAGACATATAAACCGCGATGCAGCTCATACTCATGGTCTTTCCAACATCACACCCACTGTCGATTGCCTCGTCAAATCATGCCGCTCAACACCCTACCATACCATGTTTCATCCCAATTTCCCAAGCCGTTCGAGAAGAACTCCCGGCGGCACCTCCTTCAAATTGACTTGGAGATCAGGATACGCAACATGATGAAGTTACTTCCGAATAGCCCTGGTGTTCTCCCTCCGCCAAGCACTACTATTCGTAACGCTTGGAATCCTGAGCCCAACAAGAAAGTCAGCACGAAACTCATCTTGCCGCAGGCGCGCGGGGATGTTATGTTCCTTCGCACGCCACCAACCACAATGGACGCTTCTTTCAGTGTCGGCAATGATACTTCATCTCTTATACGTGAGACATGCACTCCTACTTCGCACACATGCAACACAAACGGTGTTTCCTCGAGCAAGGTTGCTGGACGTTATCAGCACAAGACAAATGAAAAGTTCTCACTCAAAACCAACATTCCTGAGCAAAGATTGCCTCCGAGCGACCAGCACCCTGCACGCCTCGCAGACACCGAAAACAATTGTGTCACGCAACCTGGCAAATCCTCGATCTATGCGAAAGGGTTCAGAAAAATTGTCGAAGCCAAAATGGAAGAACTCCGAGTTCATGGATTGGATTTCGTTGTCGAAAGTCTGCTGACCGACGGAGTGCAGAATGTTGACTCAGCGCTGCTTGTTTCTATGGTAGTGCAAACGATGTTAATCAAACTGACGAAGGAATCGCCGAAACAGATAAAAGGTCTCGAGAGGATCTTACGCGTGCGCGCTATGAACATGTTTCGCCTACACTGGAGATCAGTTGAGTCCTTCTCCGCTGATTGATAAAACAGGGGCACTAAACGTCACTCTTAGGACGGCAACTGGAAGAACATATGCTCCACATCTGGTCAATACTCTGCCCTCACCCTGACGGGCGTAAACAAAGCTGGCCTTCTTGGATCACTCTTCTCTGCTAATATCGTCACAGCTGAAGACATCGCCATTTGCTTGTTCGTGCTATTAGAAGACATACACTTTGACCGTCTGTGCGCCATACACGCCCTCCTCTTATACGCAGACAACAGATTGTGCGATCCACAAAATCTGCCAGTATTACTCAAGCTCAAAGAAAAGTTGCGCGTCGTCGATCCGTTAACTAACTTGTGTCTGTGGGGTCCCGTGCCACATTCCCAAGCCCTCGTCCAGGTAAGCATTAGAACTTACTGTAGGTGCGACTTTGTCTAAACAAATCTTTTGTAGAAAATCTTTGATATCATTGAAGGCTGGATGGTTGACATTGTTCGGGCATACAAGCGCGAACAAGGTCGTGTTTTTGCGGGATCATGCCAACTTGGACGCCTCCTTCGGAGGCCAGTGTAGGGCCACGACTCCGTAGAATGAGAAACGAAGCCTAACGCTCGAGGTCTGGATGTTATCGCACAGGTTGCGCTGACGTATTGTAAATATATAATGTACCTTCATGTTTGTCTGTTCTCTCGATCCAATCAAGTCATATTTGTATACCAATGTTAAATTCAAAAGTAGTTCATGAGCATCCTTTTGGTGTGGTAGGTGAACATGTAGGCAGTTTATTTACGCCCCTCGAGCGACAAGAAATTGTTCCGGTATATCCGGATTCTCATAACGAGTGAGGGCAGGTACGGTGTATAATTCAGCCTTGTCGTTCATCCGCACCTCGCGTCGTACCTTGCGCTCTAGTTAATAACGAAGGTATTGTTTTGACTAGAAAGGAACTCACATTCCAAACCCTTGTATCGCATCCAATCTGCGTCACTGTTGCAGGACATTGTCGGACAATGCGCAAAGCATCATTCATCATGGACCGCTCTTCTGTTTCATCTGCTTCACGATAAAAGTTGACATGAATCGCGCGGAGGTTACGAGCAGCAGCAAAACAACTGGACACATCATCCTAACAGGTGCGGATGAGAACTTCAGCTCACAACAAAACACAAGCTGCGCACCAAATTGTGCCGCGTGGTGACGACAAACAGTTGCTCTAAAACGGAGCATCGGGAACATATGTCGTGTAATGCACCCAAACTAATTGTCATCCGGTCAATAGAAAATCGCTTGAGGCGCGACCCATGCATCGTGACAATGGTTTTCCAAAAATTGTCCGGGACAACCACTTTAGCGGTTGGCGTCGTAGCATAAACTTGTAATATTTCTAATGGTGCAGTGGATAGCAGTTCCGTTACGTCATCCGTCCATGTCTGAAAGGGTGTCTCAATATGAACTGCCAAAGTGATTGATCTGAGACGCCTAAACGCCTGGTGCTCCTTGCAGATGTGGTTGAAGCTGGTCATATCCTGCTCGATACAGTCAGCAGACGCGTAGTGAGGGCGAAAGGTTGAAGACTCACAAATGCTGGGGAGAGCCTCTCGAGTCCGATACTGGTGAGGCCATTATGATTGGTTGATACAATTTCACCAATGCCTCTATGTGTCACCTTTGGACACCCAATAATTGATAATTGATCCAGTTCGGTCATGCTAGGAGCGAGAGATTCCAGTAAGGTATCGGTGATTAGACTCGATGTCTACAAAGGGGAATGAGATCAATTAGTTCAGTCGCTCCGATCCTTGTCATACCTGACAGATGATAGTAAGGTTCCGAAGGGTTGGACCTGTAGCTGATATCCAGGAGGGAAGAATTTCAATAACTTGCGCGCTCGGCATTATGAGTGATATTCTAGACAGTTTGGAGAATCGTGAAAGTATGTTAGGATCATAGTTTCCGCTATCCTTTCCGTTTATCTCGAGTTCTTCGAGTTTGGGGCATTGGTGGAGAGCCAGGAGAATCGGCAATTCCAACGAGCCATCTCGAGTCCAGGCACACGATCTCAGGTTGACACAATTCCTTATTCCTCTTGTGCAAAGATCCAGGAGGTCGCTGTAGGACGAAGAAGAGAGTGCTTTTGGGAAGGCTCTTATCTCTGTATAATGAGGTTAGTAACTGGGCTAATTGGTGTTATTAACTGGTCTGGGCTCACCGAGACGTGAAACGTAACGTGCAAGACGAGGACAATTTGAAAGTGTCTGAAACAGCAGAACGACCTATTCTGAACGTGAATAACTGCGATTTTATGCTATGAACATTGTGATATAGATCCACCTTTGACTTGGCCTTTGTATGCCATGCGTATATGTAAACGCGGCGGTAAAGCCTTTGGATGGCAAACTCGTTGAATGACTTATTGACCAAACATAAGAATGCAAGATGTTGGGCTCTGACTATGGAATCAAAGATTATAGGCAGTAGTTCGAGAGGGACGTCATCAAAGCTGAGGGTCATATGTAGTAGGAACGGAACTGTGGTGGTAGTAGTGGCAGTGTACTGGGTTATGTAAAGCGGCGCGGAAGCCCCTGCTTCGCAGATCACATGCAGCACTACAAATTTCACAATAAGTCAGTACTAGTTCCCAGCTATACACCCGGGCTCATTTGTTCGACTGTTTTATTGCCTTTGAAGCTGGCCAGTCCGGTTCCCACGCATCAAAGTATACATGGATTCGTATCCGCCTCGGGAATTACGTTTACCGGTCACCAGCGTTTACCTATACTTAGTGGCCTTATCTGCGGAAAGAAGTGATGGTGGCGGATTCGATCACTAGCGAGCAGCAGTTGCCGGTAATAACCCTGGCGTCAACTCGTGCTCGAGGACACGTCGGGTAATAACAAGAATCGAGTCATCGCACCGCGTCGTTTGTGGCGCGGGAAAGTGTTCGAATAAGGCAACTTTAGAATTTGGAAATTTTGTACTGGACCCGGGCATATGCATTGCATTGGCAAACAAGGGACCCACGGAATCACGGATATAGGCCCGCGCAAATCCCCGAATGCTTGAAGATGCACCGTGAAGTTCATTGGGTGTAGTGTCTCAACCCTGCCGTATATATGAAATCGATAAGAAAAATTGGGGTCACCTCACGACCGAAGCTCTATTCGCCTCGCTGTTCACGAGCGCATCCGTCCAGCCCAGGCTAGGGCACTTACGTTACTCATACTACCGAGCCAGTTCTCTGGCTGCTTCACTGTCGCAGTCTGGCTAAATAGGGGACCCCCTCGTCGATTCATTACTGTAAACGCGATCCAGATGTCTGAAAAGGAATGCATCTCACTCGTACCTCTGCATTCTAGTGAAAACTCCTCATCTCGTACAAACTGTGAGTGGCATAGTTGAACTGATGTTTCAGTGACCTCGCTGACAGCCAGCAAGACTCCAGAACAAACTTAGGCTCGCTCGTTGCCACACCCCCCTTGTTCAACCAGTCTCAATTTGACATTGTTCTCCGGCGGCAGTATTCTCGTCAAGAAGGAAAGCCAAAATTTACGGCTGTTCCCTCGAGATTTTTGAATCTCACCAATGATTTTGAGTTTGCTGGCTGGGGTTCTATCTCTCATCTCACCCTCGTACAAGAAGATATACATCAGGGTGACGTTGAACTGACTTCATTCAGAGAACAGCAGGTTCTTGGGCAATTTACAGCCAGCGCGCTTGCGGCCAATGACATACTTGGCGGTGTATTTTACACTCTCCCAAGCGTCGTCGCTCTCGCTGGTGTCTAGTGAGCTAATTTTGCAATCAACATACATTTGAACACGCTCAACTACTTCCAGTTCTCCTATTTCGCTATTTGTGGCAGCTTTAACTTTATTTCTTTGGCGTCCCGTCATGGAAGAAATGGCTTCTGCTCTTCCAATTAGTGGGGCTCCCTACACCTACCTGTATGTTGTCTTTGCTTCTCAATAGAAATATTTATGACCATTTACCACCAGGCTCAATGTATCTACAAAATCTGTGGCTCTTTTTGGGGCAGCGCTCCTTCTCTTGGATTTTTCAGCCACAGCAGTAGTTTCAGCTGCAACTGCCACATCATATCTTGCAGGCGAAGTCTCGCTACCATTTCCAGTCTATGTCGGCGCTGCCTTTGTTTTCGTGTTATTTACTGTCGTCAGCCTTTCGGGCTTGAGAGAAAGTGCTCGCGTAGCAACTGGTGTGCTGGCAATGCACGTGAGTTCTGATGTTTCTTACTGTCTACCTACTTTTGATCATATGTCGGAGCAAGGTTGTGGTAATGATCATGCTTATCGTAGCTTCTGTCATTGCTTGGGGCAGAGGTGGGATGGCTCAGTTCAGATCCAACTGGTCGTTGGGGCACGTCGGATTGTCTCCAGCAGCTATAGCCCGACAGGTGTTCAATGGCGTATGTATAGGGATGCTAGGGTTGACTGGATTTGAATGTAAGTGTTCCCACTCGCAACCTTACAGTGTAATGTAATACAGCTTAGGCGCACCCTCATATACGTCAAAAATGAAGCAGAACTGTTATCCCAAGGTTCTGCGCAACCTGCATTTATCTGCACTTGTCCTCACTAGCGGGGTGATGCTCCTTGTTATGGCATTATTGCCTCTCGACGTGGTCGAGAGTGGCAACAATATCCTCAGTTTGTTGGCTCAAAAGGTGTGTACGCTTGCAATTTTCGATGACTACGTGTGATGCTGAAGGACCAGGTTGCAGGACGGTGGTTACGAATAATGGTCGTAGTTGACGCTGTTGTTGTACTTTGTGCGGGTGTGCTTACAGGTTCGTGAACCAGAATTATGCCTCGTGATTCATACTCATGTCGTATTTCAGGAATCTTGAGCGCTTGCGAGCTCCTTGTTCAGCTATCATGTGATCTCATCCTTCCTCGCGTATTTCTTGCTACGGTTCCAGCGACAGGCGCCCCTTATGTCGCAGTTATTTCATTCATTGCATTCAGTGCATTGATATATGCAAGCACGGGCGCAAACCTGATCGTGATATCCCAGATGTATGTCCTCAAATTCAGCAGTATCAACATTCTGACATTGAACAGGTTTGCGATGGTGTGGTTGGCTGTTATGGCGCTCTTCCCAGTCTCCCTCTTACTCCTCCGTTTCTCACGACCTCGACTTCCGCGTGCATCCCAATGTTCACTGTTTGTCGTCGCTGGTGCTATCAGTGTCACTGTAACCGTAGCGGCAGGCAACGTGGCCATAGATCCTACCATAGCAGGGTAAGGCACCTACATCTTGTTGCGATATTTTGCTAAATCGCTGCTTTAGATGGTTTGCCCTGTATCTCATCATCCTTCTCGTCTTGTTCTACACGTCGCAAAATAAGGTGACTATATTGCGATGGGTATACTGGGCATATGACCAGCTTCCCTGGCTACATAGGCGGCAGTTTACCAAAGGGTGGGGTGACAGTCTGATCCGGCATATGAGAAGCCTGCGTAGGCAGGAGGTTTGTTTGCTTGTTAAAAGCGACGAGGTACGTGCACCGAAGTAGAGGATGAACATTACTAAAATTGTTTCTGAAGATCAACAAC